TTCAGCACCTCACCAGTCCCTCAGACACCCAGGTGCATCCTTCATTACCTCTGTATCCGCTGCATATTGGTGATAATGGTCAAAGCCGCGCATAGAAGCAATGATAAGCTAATTGTGATATGTGAATCCTCTGGGAGACCCCCTTAGTAACAGAGGGTTATGAAAGAAGGCAGAGGAGCGAGGGCACTGTGTGGGAGAGGAGCCTGATGGACAGAACCCTGCAACTTCCTTCATTTTCTCTCTATATTCCAGAGAGCTCCCTTGCTCAATTTGCTACCCACACACCAAAGCATTGTCCCATTTTATCTGGTTCCCCTGGTACTTCCATTGCTTATCTTACGAAGATCTGTGTCAACATTTATCAAAACAAATGGCAAGCCTGGGACCTTTTAAGTAGTTTTTTTAGTTAATAAAACCAATCTTCTACTTCTGTTATGTTAAAAGTACATTATCTTTTTATTACAAACTCTCTACCGCTCTGTCTGTTTTCCTTCTTGGCAATTTCATGACTGCTCCAGTTGATTGCTGTATGGAGAATTACAAAATCATTAAGGGTGGGGTTTTACCAGCTGACTTACAGTACAAGCCATTTCTCAAAATAACCACAACAGTGCAATACTGATGTGTAATTTACGTCACAGTATGTTTTTATGAAATAGTTTGTGGGTTATTCATTTAGATCTAGAACTGAATATCTCTTCTTTTGCTTTTTAATCAAGCCTGCTGCTTTTTTTTTTTTTTTTAACTTTTTAATATTTTCCACTCTGAGGCTTGGCTTGCCTCCAACTTACCAGCTACATGGAAAAGGAAAAAATTGATTTTTTTTTTCTTTTTCTCCTTTGCCTGCAGTTTAACTGCAAGTGTTGTTTGCCCTTTGATGTATACATTTGTGTTAACTGCCTCAGAAGAAATGGTAGATGTGTGGTATAATATATTGTACAAAGGTAGAGCAGAAAATTGATAAGAGATGTAAAAGTTTGCAATCTCAAACCATACCAAGCAAGTGTTTCTGTTTAGCCTCCTGTGCTGGTACATTTCCTTTTTAAAAATTACTTTCTGTATAATGTCTTGTAATTAGAACAGGAAATCATTGAGTAACTGTAAGAAGAAAAACAGCACTTAAACTGGAAAAAAATTTACCTTCTGAGGAATTATATTTAGCTTTTTTTTTCCCCTTTTTTTTTTTTCTTCCCTTCACATTACTGAGTTGTTAATGATAGTAACAGATGTACAGACCCTTATCTGTATCATTGTTCTGCTTGTGTTTTCACAGAGGGGAGGGGGGCATTGGCCCGAAAAAGTAATTTTCAGTAATGCAAAAAATGAATGGACAGAAAATGGGAAAAGCCTAATTACAAAAAATATTCTGTGTCACAACAGAGTAGCAATTAAATTGAAACTTCAATATAATTATCAATAACAGTCGAGCCTGGAAGGGTGCCAGGCGTGTAAAGTTGGTACTCAGCCTTTATGTGGTTGCTAGGAGGACGGCAAAAAGTATAAAGCTTAGAGAAAGGAATGTCTAATGTAATAAAGTAACAGAAGGTAGCATAAATCATTGTGAGAGCAGTTCATATTGACATTATTTTACTTAAATTGGGTCGAAACTAGACATTTAGTCTTACAAGAGGCACAAATTCATGTTTCTTCTGCAAGAATAATGTGCTTTCTGGGAAGAAGTGGAGTGTGCTTTCATAGCACCAGCCTCATACATATTTGGAATCTTTTAAGCAAAAATCTTAAAATGTTTGTTTCTGTTGGCATCCAAATGCATTTGCACTAATACGATTAAAAGAACTAAAGGGCAAAATACTTGGCAGCTTTTTCAGTTGAGGTAATTAGGTACAGGAAGGAACATGCATAGTTTTTCCATCAAGCTCTATAAAATCCTGGTGTGAAGGTCTTTTTAAAGAGAAATAATGCTTACTGATGTTGAGGGTAGATTATGGCAGTTAGCAATAACATTATAGGCTGATGTTTCTGAAACAAGCAAACAAAAAGCATGTTACAGGGTTTTTTTTCTCTGCTCTCTCTGTAAATAGTTCTGGCTCTAGTTGGATTTGTTAGGAATTCGTCCTTTTAACAGGCTGCTTTTTTTTTTTTTTTTTCTTTTAGGGCTTTTAATTGTCTTGCCTTACATATTAAAAATGGTTGTGCTGATTTGAAAAGTCAGTTCTTGCATAGATTCATTGTGTTTGGCATTTCATGCATCTCTTACTTACAAAGACAACTTGAAGAACATGTAATCCAACATAAATGCCAGGCTGTGCCAAATCCCAGCTCTCTTTACCCCTGACAAAGGGAACTGTTGGATTATATCTCTGCAGATATAGGCAGTGCTTGGAAGGCAGGGGTGGAACTTTGCTTCCTAATTACAGTTTCTCTGTTTTCAGCCCTGAAATATAAAAATAAATGAAAAGTTGATGTTGGAGGATGTTATTAAACCACACAATTATGATATAAGCATAGGATTAGAGTAATTTCATTTGAGCCTCACAAGCAGAATACTGTAGGTATTATCTTTTACCATGTTCTGTCTGTGGAATCTGAAATGAAACTCAGAAAATACAGCATCTTGGTTTCCTAATATCTCAATTGTATGTTTATAGAAGTCATGTTGTTTTTCTTAATTTTAATGGAATGTGATCTACATTTTGAGCTTCTCTTCTCCTAAGAGTAAACTCTTTCTGATCGTATTTCTGAAAAAGACTTGCAAAATTCACTAAGTCCACCCTTAAATGGCACGTGTAAGATTTTGATAAAAGCAAATAATAGTTCGTCTTCGGGCTTGCATTTTATTAGGGATTGGTCTGCTTTGATTTCTCTTTTCTCATGTGGGCGTGGTTGAGGAAAAAAATCTTTGTTCCAGGAACACTGTGTTTGTCTTTCACTAAGCAAATTTTCAGTTTATTCAGCCTTTGTTCATTCTTTGATGTATCTATTGAACCTGGAATAAAAAAGGAAAGGCAACAAATGCATCTCAAAGTACTCATTGGAATTGCACAAGCATGTATGAAAGTGATCCTGTAAAAATTACTTGGTTTTAATTTATGCCAGGGGGTTTGAGTTAAGTCGTCAGTTGTCAGGGGTACAAAGTTTGTGTAATTCTGCTCAGGGACTTGCAGCACATTTGTCTAGAAACTAATGGTTTACTACAAAGGCACGTGGGACATACATTTATATACACCCTGTTTAAAAAGCTGACCACATCCTGGCATGAGAAAAGTGCTGTCAGATCGACAGATTCAGCTCAGCACTATCTGCACAAAGGTATAAAGTAGTAATAACTGTCAGGCAGGCGTACGTGCAACTCTCGAAGGAGTTAAAGGACGGATCATGTGCTTCTTAATTCCTAGAACAGTTTTCCTGATCTGATTTTTAGAGTTTCCTAATAAAGAAGAGAGAGCCTTATTCCCAGGAGCAATTGGCTCAATCGTGCTGTTGTGTAGGCTTATGGGATACTTGTTGAAACAAAGAAAAGCATGACCACATCCTTGTTGGCCAAAAGAGGTTTTAGGGCCATCAATTTTATTTTCTTAAAAAAATGCCAGTGCTGTTTACCAAAATGTATTACCCTGACTTCAATTTTTTCTTTTTTTTTTTTCTTTTTAACACAAACAGTTTTATCTCCTCACCTATGTCAGGATAGTGGTGAGAGTTCTGAGTTTTTAAAAGTGATGGCTTTCAGGAGCTGTGCTAGTAAAGACAGTGCCTTGCAAGTCTGTCTGTCGTGCTGATTTTTTTTTTTACAGCATTGCATTCCTCTGCAGTGATGACATTCTAGGTGATATATCTGCTTCCAGAGACTTCTTAAAATTTAGCCTTTTATGTGTCAACATTTTCATTGCCTCACTTGAATCTAGATGAGTGGTGCCATCATATTTAGTTGGAGAGAACTGATCTGACTTTTCTTTCAATGTCTGAAGTGATTTTTACTTTAGGAGTAAGAATGATTTCAGTATTGGTAATGGGATTAAATAGTAGACCTTTTGTCTCTGGCAGAAGAAATAGCTGAGTTATTCAGTAATCAGAGTAGAACAGAAAATGTAAAGTGAGTGCTGTTGCTGTGTCCTCATTGGCATGCCTGGAAAGCCATGTTCAGTTAGGTACCTGAGGAGATAACTTCTTTTTTATGCTCATTTATGTTGAGTACTGGCTGCATACCTGCAGATGAGTAATTTCTCATGTTTGTATCCCTAGTTGAGTTTTTTTTTCCTCTTAGGTTTCCTTCTGGTTATATGATGACACTTGATTGTGTTATTTCAAAATCTGCCACTTTCATATGTGATATCATCTAAACCATGGAGGAATGGAAAGCTCTGAGGTCTAGATTACTTTATATTTTGAGCCCAGCAGCACAAGCTGTTTGAAAATTCATTTGCTTGTTGTGCTCTGTAGGAGTTTTATTTTAACTGCTGTATTTGCAGTTAATGTGAAAAAAGTTGCTTCCACCTCTTGGGGTTTAGCAACAATGACCAGGTTGGGTCAGCCCACCTCCCTGGCCCAGAGGTCTTTGGTAGTTGCCAGTATCAGGGACTTCAAAGGAGAGGTAATAGCTGTGTATGCTCTGCATGTGTATTATTGTTTTTAAAAGATGTTAACTGATGTAAACATGAGTGTAGTAAAGCTGTATGGGGAACTGAGTCAAAATTACAGATTATATTTCTATTGAAGCAGCCAAATTGGCAAAGTATGGAGAACACTTTGATTAAGGCCCTTGGCCAACTTGAGCAGAGCAGTGTTTTCTTGCTCATCCAGGTAGTCCTTGTGAGTAAGTGTGGAAAAACTGAACAGAAAGGCAGAAAATAATCTATTTTAATAAACTTTCTTTAAATTACTGGTTTTTAACCTTTCTTTCCAGACCCACTGTGCTATAAAAGTTATGTCTTGAGAAAAGATGAACTTACTTCAGAAAATAGAGTTTTTCTGAAATACTTGAGGTACAGCTCTTGTTTTGTATTTTTCTGGTATACTAAGAGTATTTTTTTCTGTTCTTCCAGGTGAGGATGATGAAGATTCAAACCTTCTAATTCTCAGCTACCCACAGTACTGTCGCTACCGTTCCATGTTAAAGCGCATCCAGGACAAGCCCTCGTCAATACTGACAGACCAGTTCGTTTTAGCCCTTGGAGGCATTGCAGTAACAAGCAAGAACCCCCAAATCTTCTATTGTCGGGATACATTTGATCATCCTACCCTAATAGAAAATGAAAGTATATGCGATGAGTTTGGTAAGTCCCATTACAGCTATTTTCTTTTTCTCACAAGACATTTTTCTTCTTTTAAGTATCCACTGATTTCCAAAGGGAAGATGTGATTCCTTTGAAGTGAACCATGATTTATGATAACCATATTTATGATTGAAATGATCAGTACCAAATATGCTCTTTCTTCTCTAAGACTGAAGGCTTTTGGCCACTGGTGATCTCAGTATTGCAACTTGAGTTCACAATCATAGATAATGTTATAGGGTGGAGTGTAGCACAGTGACTGGGTCTGAGTGGAACAATACCTTGCCTGGGTTTGAAGTTCATCTACCTTAACCATTCACCTCTAGCCTGTCTTCCAGAAGCATTACAGTGTGTGTTAGTTTTTTGAAGTCATTGTTGGTGCAGTATGCTAAAAGATGCAAAACAGGAGGGAGTCCTGGCACACCCCATTGCTGTTGCAGAGCACTTGTCAGCTGTGCTCCCCAGGCCCTGTAAGAGTGTCAGCTGTAGCTGGTGTGTTCCTGGTCATCTTGGAATGTGGGCTTGTTCAACATGGGCTTTGCCACTGCTAGGAGCTTGGTTTCATGAGTGCAGAGATACTTATGGGAGGTGACCTCTTAATTCAAGAGGCATAGAGAATACTCTGCAGCTCTAAAGGAGTATGCAGCTCCTTACAGCTTGGGAAAAGGACTGCAAGATTTGACACCTGATAGCAACCAGGTAGTTTCACACAGGGGTTTTTTTGGTGTCAGATCATCCCAGCTACAGCAGGTGTGCTTTGAATATGTGGCAGAATGCATGTTGTGTAGACACCCAGTAATGGGTCCAGTGTCGTTTCTTTAGCACTGTACAGAATTAAGTTTTATGCCCCATATCACCAGATGGATGAGTTCTGTGGCTCATGCTTGCAAAGTCTGCATGGTGCTGAGTACACCTTTGCTTGTAAGACCCCCCCATCTCTGCAAGGAAGCTCCTGTAGTCTCTTAGAGAAAAAAAGTCTGTTGATGCCCTTAAACATTTAATAATGAGATTGAGAGGGAATGTTTCTGATGGGAGAGTCATCTGCCTGTTTTTCTGAACTGGAACACACTGGCTTTGAGCTTGGTGCCCAGCTCAGGCATTGTTGTGACAGCAGAAAAGCCCTGACTCATGTGATGGCATTGGGGTATTTTGTGAGGTAGTGCTGCTCTGCTGCTCTGCCACTCCATTCCCAAAAGGCAGAGGAGATCCCTCCTCACGTGGTGTTGTCACTGGAGCACATGACTGCTGAGAGTAGTTTTAGTTTTGTGCTGTCAAGATTTTTCAGAATCTGGCCCAAACTGTCAAGTCTGCTCACACTCACACAAAACATTGCAGGTTTTGAATGAACCATGAATAAAAGTGTTGGTTGCTCTTAGGGGATGGGGGTGGTGAAAAAAATGAATTAAATGCCCTGGAAGTTTGGTCCAATGACACAATAGTATCGTGTTGGTTTTTATTTACTCTGAGCTCAAGCTCAGAATATAAAGTTCAGTTGTAATTGACTCTCCTTTTTATGTGAGAAAGGTTATTTTAGGCTTGAAGGCGTTTGATGAGCCTACCATCTGCTTTCTGTGGAGTATTTTATTCAGGGTCATTCCTTGATTACAGGTTTGTTGAAATAGTTGGATCCATAATGCAAGTGTATCATGGAATATTAGTAATAGATGAATCAAAGAGATGTGGAATGATGCAGAAACTACGCTTAGTGAACCATAGCAAGTGCTTTGTTCAGCGTCTGAAAGCAAACTATGCCATTCTCTTGACCTTTGCGAGGCAATTATCTCATTATCAACCAGAGCCACAGAAATCTTAGCCATAGAAATTAATAATGTGTATTTAAAATTTAGTTCGGTTTAAGAAGCAGATCTTTTTTAAATCCCTATTTAAAAAAGAAAAGAACCACCAAAAAAAAACCCCAAAAACACAGTTTGAAAGTATTTATTATGAAAGTAATGATGTAAAACTTGCAAGCCCTGCTGTTTAAAGAAGGAAAAACTGGCCAGTGTGTGGTTTCATATCTGCATTGCGAAATGTATGGTGTCAATTATGCTACCTTTGTTGAAGACAGCAGGCAAAATACTAGTTTATCCTTTTCTTTGCTGGCAGGACAATAAAATGTACAACGCTTCATTATACAAACAGTTTACATTGATACCATGTAGATTGATGTCACATGGGGAAGGTGATGACTGCTGAGCCTAAACAGAGGCAGGGTGGTACAGTAGATAAATAGATTACTCTAAGGCACTGGTGTTTATCAGTCAAATCTGAGGGGATGCCAGATTACAAAAATGGTGACTAAAATTCTGCAAAGGTGTCTATAAGGAGACCCAGACACATGTAGTTTGAAGGTTTTGTCCCTCTCTTACTTTGCAAATGAAATAAGCATGCAGAAGGAACAAGACAGGAGTGTGCACTTCTCTGTTTTTACCTCTCTAATTCTCCCAACTCTAAAGCAAATGCAAAATTTGGGAAATACCTTCCACTGATGTCTTTATGGGGGAAGCACTGGAGCACTGGTTTCCAGTGTGGATGCCAAATCTTCTTCAGAAGCATTGCTTTTGAGGCACGTTTTACACATTCTCTGTATGTTGGAGTATTTTGCAACAGCTACAGCATATAACAAATGAGACACAGAAGCACCTTTACAAAGAACCCCCAGCATGTAAGCTATTGTCCTTGTTAGGTAGTTTTAATAGACCAAAATGTTTTTCCTGGAAATATTCTCTCTACTTTCATTATAAGTTTTTAACAAAAAAAATTTGTTGAGCTCTGACTTGTTCTCATACTCCTTGCCTATTTTCCCCTCTTTTGTAGAGTTTAACAAAAATAAATAAAGCTGGAAATGAGGAAGAAGAATTAAGTTTTGTTGCCAATAAATATTGTTTTGGTGTGGGACTTTTTGAAGCAGATGTTTGTAGATGCTGCCACAGGTATGACTGGGAAGGATGCAGCAAGGCTTTGGGCAGTCCTGTGTGCATGTTCTGTGTTTCCATAGAGCCTCTGTGAGGCTCAGCCTGTGCTAAGCTTCCCCTCCAGCTCCAGCCACAGGTGTTCCCAACACCACAGCTGCCTGTGCTTGCCTCTACCCTGTGTGCCCACTGCTGCATGGCATGTGCCCAGGTGCTCTGGACAGGAATATTTAGGATCTGTTTTCTTGCACGGTCCTCTTGTAATTCTCCTCTGGTTGGTTCAGTGTGCCACAGCATCCCACCTAGGAGGCTGCTGGAGGAGCAGGCTGCTGAGGAATGGGCTCAGCAGCTGGAAGCCTCAAACATTTGCATGTCTTTCTTTGCAGCCTGCCACAGAAGGACTTGCTCTACATTTACAGAGGAAAGACTGCTGTGAGTGGGAAGCTTCCTGCTCCCATTCTTGTTGATATAACCACTGATTAGTTAATCCAACTGCCTTGGAGGGTTCCCCTCCAGAATGCAAATAGGCTCAAGAGCTTGCTTCTGTTCAGAAAGCAGAAGACATAAACCATGCTTGGATATCTTGATAGCCCACGTTCCTGGCTATGACTGCAGTCCAACTGCACACGTATCCCTCTCCTGAAATAAGAGCAATTAGAGGTCCTCACCAGCATGAAGCAGTCCAGGTGGATAATGAAATGAACATGAGCAATGAAAAGGAACAATTCATTTCTCTTCAACTCAAGACATTTTTCAAAATCTTTTTCATTTATCAGCCTCTGGGGTTACTGTTACTGAATAACTTTCATAAATGCATATCATTTACTGGCATCTGCTGTGTGGTCATATGTGCTGCAGGAGAGAAGGAATGAAAAAATTAGGTTTCTAATAATTTTCATTACAGACCAAAGGGATCTAGCTGGAGGCAAAGCTGCCTGTGAGTGTTCAGAAGGTGTATCTGAAGGTCACTGGGCATAAATCAGTGTGCACTTGTTGCTAGAGCAGCACATGTCCTCTGTGTTTGCTTGTCCAAAAAAGGTGACTTCACTTGCCAGGCTTGTGCCAGCTCCATGGCTTGGAGTGGCTTCTAGGGCTCATCAATGAGCCAGGATCTTTCTGTGATCCAGCTGTGGTCTGGGTGATTGTGAGTTTCAGCTCCATCAGCTTCACCAGGTGAAAATTTCAGAACCATTTTTCATAGTTCTTTGGTAGATAAATGTTATAAATCCTGTCTGCTAAAGATGAATCCAAAGGCTATCTTTCATTGTGTGAGGATGGGCTTGCTTTTTCTATAAACAGGAGTGTGAGAGAAAACAGAATACCTTATTTCTTCTCAATTTTCAAAATCTGTTTGGTAAATTTTAAATCATTCTGGATTATTTTTACAGCATGCTGGGTCCAGTATGCCGTTTAACAATGTGCTTGGTCCCTGGAGTACTCAAAACACGTGTTCAAGCCCAATAGAAGGTTTTGGGTTTGCATGTAAAACCCAATTTTTTAATGAAACATTTGATACCAAAATGTGAGAGAACTACAACCTACTGTGGTATAAATACAATTTTTTCTCTGAAAAATTAATCATCTTCATTTGGCCGTAACATGAGCAATGCAGAGGGAAACTGCTCATTGAAAAAAATCCATGTGCAAAAGGGCATTGCAGGTCCCTCTTATCTCCTCCCCATCCCCCAAACCAAACTTAACAATATATTGCTTGCTAGGGGAAAAGTTATCTGCATTAAAATGCAAACCTCACAACCTTCAGCAGCTCATCTCTCCCTGTAAAACAATGGCGAAGGCAGTTGGTCTCACTTCCAGGCCTGGCAGGGAGTGGTTGGGAATGAGGGGTGACTTACCAGTCCTTCCAGCTGCTGGAGTTTCTGAGCCAACAATTTCAGAAAGACTTACCCTCCCTGTCATTGGCCAGGGAAGCCATGGAAGAGCAGCATTATGAAGAAGAAAGGACTTTTTAGGGATGGATCATGTGCCAGAAAAATTCTGTAGCCTGAAAGCTGGTCACTCCAGGGTATGGAGTGGTACCATTACTCTTGGTATAGCTGAAATTTGGTCTTTGCTCTCATTATGCATCTT